TTCCTCAGGTAGATTCTTCTGAGGTGCCTCCATGAATTCTTTAATAACTCAAACTGCCTGGCTTTTAAAAGCTTTGGACAACAGCACAAATATCTGAGAGGTGAGATAGATCAGGGAGCAGTGAGAGGAGCAGGGGAGATTTGGGCACCAGTGTCCAATGCCTGGCACAGGTGGGGTCTGACAGTGATGGATGGAACCAACACAAAAACCTCATCTCGGGATAGAGATAGGATGGAGTCAGGTTTCCCACCACAGATAAGCCTGAGCTGAGCTTTGTGGTGTCCCAAAACAAGGCTTAAGAGACTTTTATTCACCTGAAACTGAAGGCAACTCAGTTTTAAATCTGGGAGAAGACTCTAAACCAAGGATAGTACCAAAAATAAATATTAACTGGCTCATTCCCTCAGTTCCTTGAGACTGAAATGCACTGCGGTGAGAAAAACCCCAGTCTGAGTGGCAGCACAGCATCAAAACAAACAGAAAAAGCCACCACCCCAAATCTCCAAGGTCCCCAGCCAAACACAAGCACCAACTGCTCTGCAGAGCACTCAACCATTTGAACATCACTTTGTTTGCCAGACAAGACACGAATCCATCTCCCTGACAACAAAAATAACATTTTTKGAGACAAAGCGAATGAGGGAAAACAAACACAGGATTAGTAAAATAGCCACTGAGCTGTAAATRTATCAAAGCTCCTTTACCATCTATAGCCACAAGATGTTTAAAAAAGAAAAAAAAATTTCCTTCAGCAGGCTGAAGACTTAAAAAACAGTAATATTACGTAAAAAAACAGTAATATTAAAAAAGTTATATATAAAGACTGGCAAAATATAAGTGTGTCAAATAGAGGCAGAACTCAGCTCAGCAGTGCTGTGACACTTTTTAAACTTCAGGCAGTCACGAAGCAGGGCCTGGTTCCTACTTGAAAGGTYAATGTTTTAAAAAGTGGTGAGCAAACAAATACCCAGYGAATCCTTTTTTCTGGTGGGRCTCACCAAGCGGGGTTGTTTTCAGRRAAACCTGGGGTTTCTGCCCGGRGTTTATTTTCGCAGCCTCTGAAGCCCTATCGTGTTCTGTTTGGTTACCATTTTCTAAAACCAAGGAACATTAAATAGTGGCTTCCCAGGAGATCAGGGACAAGCTCTGGGTTTGCCTCTGAGAATTTACAGTAAGACATGGCAAAAGCTGAAGGAAATGGGAGGAAAACGCAGGGAAAAGCAAATCCAAAGGGATGGGAGCACTGATGGCAGGAGCTGCAGGGCTGGAAGGAATATCCCAACAAAACCCTGAAAATACMTTTCTCTTCCTGTGGGTTTGAAAAAAAAAACCACCTTTTCAGAAGGGATTGAACCAATTCATGCTCTTTCTCATTCCATTATGTGTGGAGCAGCAATAGACACCTGGATTAGAGAAAAAAGTGATGCTGAGCTCAGTTGGTCRGTGCTTTACAGGCTCTTGGAAATTATATAACTTTTCTAATTAATTTTTCTAATTKATGCCTTTAATACACTTTTTGAATAAATGGTTTTAATTAATCACAAGCACTGTATTAATTTTAAGCAGTGTGATTTCCACTTCAGCCAGCACAGAGCTCCCTTTCTCCTCACACTGGTATTACTGGAGTTGGATTGGAAAATCATTCAAATTTCGAGTTTTGCTGAACTAACCCTGATGAGCTTCAATGAGTCTGAAAATTGAACACCTRAAATGCAGAATTTACARCYCTCCAAGGAAATGCTGCAGAAAGTAAAGAAGAGCCTGACAAAGACAGTCAGCACCTGCTGGAAACTCCCTTCTGGGAAAAATTTATTAAAAACAATGGAAAATGTGG